AAACCCTCGAAACTCAGTTGCAACGATTTACTACACTCACTATTGAGATGAATATAGCTGGGATCTTCTTGTCCAAATCTGAGATAAACAAAAAGCTATTGAATTCACTTCCGAAATCGTGGGATATGAACGTGGCCATCATCAAGAAGACAAAAGATCTCAATCATCTTAGTCTTGCTGATATAATTCAAGAACTTGATGCTTTGATGTGTAGAGAAACAACGAGTTCTGAAAACATTCCGGTCACTGAAGTTACATGTACTCCAGCTTGTGAAACCACGATTAAATTTCTTCAGGAACAAATTGATTTATTTAAAAGAGAAGTTGAGGACCTAAGATATGAAGGATATCAACTCAGGAAAGGACAGAAACCCCTGAAGGCTGAATTAGAAGCAAAAACCAAGGACTTTAGGAAGCTTCAGGAAGAGTATAGCAATAAGTGTGAAAATTATGATTATATTAAGAGACAACTTGCTGCTGTAACTGAAGAACTTGACGCTTTAAAAATTAAGTGTGGAAAAACATATGTCAGTTTCAAAAATTATACTGCATCAAGTCAGATAGTCGAGTCCTTATATGAAACCCAATTAAAATTCAAAGAAAATCAAAACAAGGGTCTAGGGTATGATAGTGTACCTCCTCCTTATAATCATAACTACACATCCATCCGTATGACACGGGACGAAACTGACAGGGAGCCACATCTTCAATATGGCAAACGAACGGGATTTGTGTCATGAGGAGTTATTAATATTGAAGATACTAATGTTGCTACTTCATGTACAGGTAAAGTAGCAGAGGATGAGAACAAGGAGAGTTATTCTGAACAAACAAACGACCCCTTGAACTCTAAATCTGTTGCTTCTAATCAACCTGTCGTTGGTAAATACAGGCCACCAATTCCAACGAAACAAAGTGCCTGTTGCAACTGTGCATGTAGGAATAACAGGAAACAAGGCAAGGATACGCTACCAGGGGCAGGAATAAATAACTTTACAGTGAAGAAAAAGACTTGTTTTCACTGTGGAACACCTGGACACATTGCCAGAAATTTTCCTAATCGTGCATACGTTCCCTACTATGCACAAGGATGGAAAAACGCGCCAAGTAGGAGATACTTCAAAAGAAACCCTTCTAGGTCACGTTCAGACAATGATGACTGGAACGCGCAGAAGGCCAAGAATTCAACTCCCAAGGCCAAGCATCCAAATCCCAAGGGCAAGAAGGAAATGTCAGCCAACAAGCCCAGTTCAAGAGATGCTCCTGTGAAGCCAAGACCGGTTAGGTCAAAGTCATCTCGGAAGTCAGCTTCAAGTTCCAAATCAAGTACTGAGCCACCCATAGGATTGAAAAAGAAATGGGTTAAACCCAACTACAAATGGGTTCCAAAGGCTCACTCTCCCAAATCTCCTAATGCTTACAATGTTTCTACATCTTATATTTGTGATAAACAGGATATGTCATGGGAGAGAGTATCGTGTGTTGATGACAAAGGTCGACCCAGTTTTAAAATGGACTGGGTTCCAAAGACCAACTGATCCCGCTCTGTGTCGGAGCAGCTATGGAGGCATATCATCGGACTTTGGTTTGTTGGTACTGGCTGCTCCTGGCATATGATTGGGGACATCTTTCAACTGTACAACATTCAGACCTTTGTTTGAGATTATGTGTCCTTTTGCGGGAAAGGAAGAAGGGAAGAGATCACTCATGGGGTTAGTGCTTAATGATATGAAGAATTTTCGGATCTATTCTGAGATTACGTGTGCTGTTCTCAGACCTTCTGGATGCAGATTCAATCGGTGAATTACGGTTTGCGTTATCTTCTCTATACTCCTGAATTTTTTCTTAATCTGATTTGCTTTAAAAACTAATTTTTGTTTTAGGATAGTTTAAATTTGCACATTTACTTTCGTTTCTCTCCTATGCACAAATTTAGGGGGAGAAATAAAAACAAAACAAAAATTAGAAAATTTTCAAAAATCCAAAAACATCAGAAAATCAAAAAATAAATAAATAAATATATTGGTTATGAAATGTGTTTGAGGGAGATGTTTTGGGAACTGATATTATCAAGTGATAACAGGCAACCTGAGTCTGCGTAACGTACCCGAAGTTGAAGGGTCTATGCTGTGGTTTGATGAGTCGGTAGGCACGAAAATTTTTAAAATGGACATGACTAGGCAGAGTTGAACTTAGGAAATTTATAGACTTGACAAATTTTGACCTAGTTAGATCCATTCAGCCTGACAATACGATGCTCGGATAGGTTGAGCAGGGAGATATATATGGGAATCTACTCGTCACATTAAATGAACCCATACTTGGAACCGTGGTTTAACTTTTCTTCGATGTGCAGATTCTATCCTTAATTCCGGTTGGATGGGGCGACTGGTAAATTCCGATAAATTAGGTCTGTAAAATATCATTTTCTTTCTTTTCGTCTGTTAGTCATATGTTGTCTCCTTTGCGTGACTTCCAATCCGACCTGGTACACAACATATGCAACTCTATTTCTCTGCAGGCTATATATACATGTGTGAAATACTTCTTATCTGTTAGCCATATGCTGTCTCCTTTGCGTGACATCTAATCTGACCTGGTACACAGCATATGCAACCTTCTTCTTCTCAACCCCTCTGAAGTAGTTAGCAATAGAATTCTGAATCTCTTCTCTCTCTGAATGGTTGTCTGCTAACCCAATGTAAGGAGTACTCTGGAAGTTCTTGATGGTTGGGGCATATCAGGAATCGGGAAACACGTTCTAGTACAATTAAAATTGAACACTTAAAGATTGTCTATAGATCTCGCTGCTCAATTTAGGTGGACAACAATATCCCTGGTCGTCGTCACCTGAATGGTCCTTAAGATATAGTATCGAGGAACTTAGGATCGGATATGATATCTAGGAACTTAAGTTCACCTTGTCTTGTATCAAATAGTATGTCCTAAATCAGTCACAATTTTTCGTGTTTAAGTGGATAACAATACCGACGATCGACCAGACAAAGATGTGAATATGGAAGGTACCGACAAGTGGATAAAGGCTGTCTAAAAACTTTGATCCCAAATTTCTCATAAAGTTAGATATCATTTTTTTTGTTAAATTTGTCATAGTTGCTTCTAATTTAAATATTATGGGAGAATTAAAAATTAAAAATAATGAAAATAAAAAAATCAGAAACATTCAAAAATCAAAGAAAAATCAGAAAAATTAAAAATCCAAAAATAATGTTATTTCTGTTTTATTTCTTATTCAGAAAAATCAAAAAAATCCAAAAAATAATTTTGTTTCTATTTTAATTTGTGTGCTAAGTTTTCTTTTAGTTTTGTTTTGTCTTGAAAGGTGATTTCAGGTGTAAATGAGACTCATGGAGTTTGTGTTGAAGATTTCTGAGCCGATGCTTCGTCCGTGAGCATCGAAGAATTCTCATTCGAAGGAGCAAGAAATGAAGATTATTCTTTCAAATTCAATCTTTCAACCCCAGAAGCAAGGTGAAGCAGAAATTGAAGATTATGTAACGGATTACATTGAAGCCTCCTCAATCAGTCTGCTGCTATCGTTGTACCTGCTGAAGTGATCCAGAAGATTTGTTCTCTCTGATGTTCTCTCTGATGATTCTCAAGCTGAATGCGCCATCTTTCAAGAATTAGTACGTCAAGCCTCCTCACCCAATGTGCGTTCAATGCCAAATTATGAAGAAAGCCTCAAGTGCTCAAGATGAAGTCATTCATTGAAGATAAATGCTGAAGCCAATTTCCCAATGAAGATTATCAAGAAAGTCAGCTACTTTTTAGGGGAGCTTGTTGGGTCAATTAAGAAAAGAAAGTTATAAACCAAGGGGGAGATTGTTGGGTCAAAATATGGTTTATACTTTACTTTTCTGGGCAATTATATTTTTGTGTAATATTTTATGAATTTATGGCCTAGTTTACGGCCGTAAACTCATTTACGGCCCATTTGTTTCCGGCCCATGTTCTACAAGTATAAATAAAGGTGTTAGGGTGAGGAGTAGAGATTGATGAACCCTAATGAGTTTACGGCCAGAGAGAAAGGAACGTTTGTGTGGGTGAATCTTGTGTAAGGAACTTAATTCATATTATCAATACATTAAAGATTCATATTATTCTTCTTCTCATTCTCTTCTATTTGATCTGACATCATCCGTTTGATTTGGATTCCGCACCATCAAACGAATCTGACTGATACACAGGCAAATTAAGGACTTACAAAAGTTATAGTTGCAAGACCCGTTAGGACTTTCATGGCCACGTTTTGCGTCGAAAACAACAGCTGACTTAGTATGTTTGTCAAGGTGGAGATTTTAGGTTAAAATGTGACAATAATACTCAAGTCCAAAAAAAACATGTCAATAAGCAAAAATTTATAAAATTTGTCATATTCGGTTTGTGTAGGATTTTTATTGTAGTTAATTTTTTTTTGCCTCTTTAGTATTTTTACTAATAAGGATTCAATTATTGTGTTTTTTCTTGTTGATTCTTCTTACATTTCATCCTAATTATTTGTTATTACTTATGCTATTGCACAACACTATCGTTGAGATGTTAAATATGAAATTCATCTCATGGTGGAGTTTGTTGCATGGTGTGAGCCAATTTCCCCATGCATTGGAAGTATGGTACTTGGCTACCAAGTTAGTTAGGAATTAGGATATTTTTATTTTACTTATGAAGTTTAGAAGTTATTGGATTCTTTCTGATAAGACCTGTTATTCGAGACACATAGATTCTCCCAAAACAGAGTAAAACTCTATAATTCTTATTCCATAATCAAAAAGACATATCAAAACCCTATATATAAGTGTTACTAGATAATCTTATCCTAATTTAAAAGATACTAATAGATATCCTAATTTTAAATAAAGATAGCTACTACCTAATTTGAATAAATAATTACTAATTAGTTGATAATGTTGACCTAATCGTTGATTTGTATCATTACTCTCCTTCCAAACAAACACCTTGTCCTCCAGGTGGAAATCTCAAGTTCTGCAACCAAATATTGATGAAATTGTGGATCGATCGTCTTCTAATTCCCCATAATTTTCTGTCTCATCCTCGTGTTGATTTTCATTGATCATAACCGCTAATACCATTGTGCGGGTCAGACCCTTGGGTTGCATGACCCTTATTGATGATTTGGGTGCTGGTTCTAGCCCTTTGATGAAAGTTCCTTCCAAGACATGTTCCGGAAATTCGCCCAAATGCCTCGCCATCTTCTCGAAGGTCCCCTCATACGAGAGTTGAAATCTTGCTAAAAGTCTTTATTTAAGTGTAGCCCAAGTCCGGAAAGGTGTTTGTTTCAACCCATCAATACCACGCTAGTGTTAATCCCTCCATGCATAAGGAGGTTGTCTTGAGTCGTTTTGTGCCTTTAATACCTTGGATCTCATAGTAGCATTCCACCCGGTCGATCCAACCATGGGAGTCTTCCCCATCGAATATGGACATCTCGATCTTCTGGAAGTCGGCATGTTGGAAATTACTTCTAGATATCCTAAGTCTTATATATATATATATATATATATATATATATATATATATATATATATATATATATATATATATAAAAGGAGGACACTTTTTAGGAATAGTAAACTTATGTGACTTTTGGTAAGAATGGTCCTCTGTTTATGTGTTTGTGTTCAAATCCGTCTTTAGGTCATTTTATGTCCGTACCCATACTTTGTGAGGATACGTGTTGGGAATAGTTCCGGTTTCCCGGTCATTTTGTGTTCAAATCCGTCTTAAGGTGCAATTTTTGTTTTTTAAAACAAATATATGTAAAAAAACAAACTTTTTACATCCTATAGTGAAAATGAATATGTAAAAAATAGGAATTTAATTTTTTTTAAAAGTCATTCTTAAAATGTAAAGTTATTTTGTTCATATTTCAATTTTGCTGAAAGACCTGTCGCATCCGACCCCTGCAACGCGGGGGTTCCCCACCTAGTTTTAAATAAAGATAGCTACCATCTAATTTGAATAAATAATTAAATAATTACTAATTAGTCAATAATGTTGACCTAATCATCGAGTTGTATCACTTTCAAGATTTTTCTACAAGGCTCTCTCAGGGACGGACGCAGGAATACATAGTAGGTATTGCCGGGATGAATAGGTGTTGCCGATACATGACAAATAGTTTAAAAAAATCAAAAAATCAAAAAAATTTACACTGCGGCTAGAAAAGTTAGGGTTTGCCGGTGCCACACCGGGAACCCCTTACAATTGTCCCTGGGCTCTCTCTCTCTCTCTCTCTCTCTCTCTCTCTCATCACCATTGAAATTTCCCTACCTTATAATACCTTTTCACAGTCAGTTTTGTCAAGACAATAGTATAGTGCCTCGTGGTTTTCCCTAGTTATCACCCGGCCATATACCTGTGTTCTAGTTTGTGCTTTAGCGACTCTTATATTATCATATTTATAACAAGTAGGCTAATTGCATGGGAGTGAAGGAATCATTGGTTAATTTTAACAATTAAAATACAAATCCTCTATATACCTGCTTCACAAAATCTAACTGCAATAACAATTGACAGCTTGTATAACAGAGCAATGATTAACAATTCAATACTTACTTTGTTGACTGAATTAAGAATAGCTTTTTCAATTTAATAAAAAATTTATACACAATTGATTTAACAAACAACTTCCTACATATACGCTCTTACAGTGGCCGAAATTCAAGGCCACATAAAATAAGGCCGGATAGAGTCCCTTCATAACTAATTAACTTCAAATTCACACGAAAACTATCATTTTTTATGAGTTCATGATTTAGGTTGAATTTCCAGACCTTAACTTCCATCCATCCATCTGGCCTTTGTTGTGGAGCTTGATTAGTATCATGTAAATTCCATGTATTTGGGGTTCTAAAATAAATAATTTCAACCTCTTTCTTGTTCCGATGAAGTAGATTTCTTACTTTCACAGGACAATGCAGCCCACGACACTTTTCTGAAAGCTTGAACACAAGATAACATGTGTAGTCTGTATCTCGTGATAACATTTGACTTTTAATCTTGCAATTGATACGAAGTACTTGTTGTGGTAGAAGCTCAATCACCTCTAGAAATCTACATATATAATATGGTTGTGTACTTATCAGATGAAGCTTTTGTTGTGGTATTGTAAAATTCAATACACATGAATAGGATTTTCAGTTATGAAATCTGGTTTATTATAAGAAAATTTCAAATATATGGTAAGCATAGCTAAACACATTGTAATCATGGTTAGGATTTAGTTCAAAAAGCAAACCTGGATTGAATTGATGGTTTTGTTTTGAAAAGCTTCACATCAGAATAGTTGTAAACAGCAGCCTTTGCAGAAAGCATAAGATATTTCTTTCCGTTCACTTTGTTGAGCAAAAACAGCTATTCATCATACGTTCAGAGAGAATTTATCAAAACCCCACAAGGAATTATTCGTCCTACGGATAATTAAAATTAGTTAATAATTAAAGAATAACCTTTTCATCTCCATCCTCATTTTCAGATCTCTTAAATATTTCTTCAAGGTTAGTTGGCAATTGTTGCATGAGATTCATGTTTGAGTCTGATTTCAGTACTTGTTGCACTTCTTGTATTTCATCCGTTTCTTCATGTTTCACCTGTACAAGAATTTGTAACACACTGTTATAAACATACGTGTAACCTATATCAAGAAAGGGAATTAAAGAGTATTTTCAAACTTACATTATCAATGGCTCGAAACTCAATGCCTTCAACATATATGCCATGGCTTCCACAATAGTATTGCGAAAGGCTTTCTAGCAGAAACTCCAAGTCAATATTTTCCTTGTCATTTGAGAATCGACACAGTTCAATCATCATCCAATCATCTTCTCTCCATGTTGCGAAATATGCATGTAAGGTTTCGCTCCCTCTCCCCTTTTTGTACTTAAGGTTTACGTACATCTGCTTAGCTAGAGATTTTCTTGGACCACAAATTCTAAAGATGAGATGAATCCCATAATTGACGCCCGAAGATAATAATTGAGTTTTTATCTTCATTTTGATCTTTAGATTCGAAAAATCTAGCATCTCTGCTACCTTTTGAAACCTGTGCGTGTTAAAAATATCAAAGTCCAAATTAGGTATAGCCTCTATGCCGCAAATACACACTTCTACTTTTGGATTTTATGTTTCTTTTCAGTTTACTTTTCACCCAAAGTAAATTATCCAACAAGAGTTCAAATTCACATTTACTTTTATTGTATATATCAAGAAACATTAACCTTTAATTATGATTCTTTTTTTCCATAAAATTTCTATATATTATAGATGAGTGAGTATTAATCATATTTAACTTCTTAAACCCACAGTAAATTATATGTATAAGGATTACTCTCAATAAAACCTCTTTGAGGTAATCGTGTATACATGATGTATATATAGTACAATGAATAACTAATACAAACTAAAATACATGGGTAATCTTATCTAAGCTATTCATTTGAATATCACGTGATCATGTGATCTTATCGCTAATACCCCCCCCCCCCCCCCTCAAGTAAAGTGGTGGTGGAGCAACACGAAACGCTTCAAATAGTGGACGTGGTAGACTCTTGGTGAAGATATCTACAAGCTGTAAAGATGTAGGAACAAACCGAGTGTACAAGCGTCCAGATGCAACCAGTTCGCGCACAAAATGATAGTCAATGTCAATATGTTTTGCACGCTTGTGAGAGATGAGATTTTGGCTAAGAAATAAAGCACTATGATTGTCACACAATAAGGTAGGCCGATCAGGTGGAAGTGCATAAAGTTCACGCAGTAAATGAGTTATCCATACTATTTTCAACTGTTGTGTTAGCCATTGCCCTATATTCTGACTCACAACTTGAACGAGAGACAGTGGGTTGCTTCTTAGCACTCCAGGAGACAAGGTTGCCACCAAGAAATATAGAATAGCCATAAGTAGAGCGTCGTGTGTCAATGCATCGTGCCCAATCTGCATCCGAGTAGCCCACCAAGGAAGAAGTGGGAGGTGGTGTGAAGAGAAGACCATAAGACATGGTTCCTTTAACATATCGTAGGATCCGTTTAACAGCTTGAAAGTGATCAGTTGTGGGAGAATGCAAGAATTGACTGACTTGATTGACTGCATAAGACAAGTCTGGACAAGTAATCGTAAGATACTGCAATGCGCCCACAAGAGAGCGGTAGAGGGTAGGATCCGAAAAGGGAGAACCAGTGGATACCAAATACTCAGAAGTGGATAAAGGAGTCGAGATTGGTTTAGAGTCGAGCAGACCAGCACGATCCAGTATATCATGAGCATACTTGGTTTGGGTGAGAAACAAACCACCGTCACCGGGAAGATATGAAACTTCAAGTCCCAAAAAATAATTCAAGCGACCTAAATCTTTGATGGAAAATTCATCATGGAGTTTAGAAATAAATCGTTGAATGAGAGATGATGAATTTCCGGTAAGAATTATGTCATCCACGTAGACCAACAAATATAGAATGTGGGATTGTCGCTTAAAAACGAACAAAGAAGTATCCGCTCTACTACATACGAGGCCAAGAGTGATTAGAAAAGCACTCAGGCGTTGAAACTAGGCGCGAGGAGCCTGCTTTAACCCATATAACGCCTTTTTTAATCGACAAACATGATCTGGAAAACGAGGATCTTGGTAACCAGGTGGTTGCTCCATGAAAACCGTATCAGTAAGATGCCCATTGATGAAAGCATTATTAACATCTAACTGATGCAAGGGCTATCGATGCATAACAACTAAGGTTAAAACAATACAAACTGTGGTTGCCTTTACAACAGGACTAAAAGTATGAGTGTAATCAAGGCCTGGAATTTAGGTGAACCATTGAGCAACCAAACTTGCCTTGAGCCGCTGAATGGAACCATTAGAGTTGTATTTCGTGCGATAGATCCACTTAGAGCCAACTACATTAGTCTTTGGAGGTCGTGGAACAAGATCCCAAGTATTATTAGAACGAAGAGCGGACATTTCTTCTTCCATAACTAACAACCATTGGGGATTTTTGGCAGCGGATTTGAATCCTCGCGGTTCCTTGATTGTCAGTAAAGAATGCACCAATGGAGACGAGATTTGACTAGCCAGCAAATCCAAGATTCTTCTTGGTTTGGGTGCGCCTGTTTGGGAGCGAGTGACCATGGGGTGAGTGACTGGTGGCACATCCGGACATGGTGGTGATGAGGCAAATGGCAACTCATGATCAGTGGGAGTCATAGGGGCAGCAGATGGCGCTCCATGGTCATCGTGTAAGTAGATGTGACATGGTGATGATGATGAAGGTGGTGGTGTGGTTGGTGGGTGTAAAAGACGATGAGTGCAGCGGTGTAGATTCATCAAAGTCAGAAAAAAACCATAACGGCCTCTTTTGATGTAGAAGGAGTACCAGTGAAAGGAAAGGAGGCTTCATCAAATATTGCATGCCTTGTAATGTAAACGCGATTTGTGGAAGGATCGAAGCAAATATATCCTTTGTATTGAGAACCATATCCAAGAAAAACACATGGAGCGTTGCGAGGTTCATGTTTATTAGATGAATATTTGCGTAGATAAGGAAACACTCGACAACCAAAGGGATGGATATGGCATAATTTGGGCGTATGTTAAATAGAAGTTGATATGGTGACTTGTGTTGAAGTAGTGGAGTAGGTAAACGATTAATGGTGTAAACAGTAGCACTAAATGCATCAACCCAAAAACGAGTAGGAACCCGAGCATTGAAAAGCATGGCGAGACCTGTTTCTGTAATGTGACAGTGCTTACGTTCAACACGGGTATTTTGCTCCGGTGTGTAAGGGCAAGAGATCCTATGGTGAGTGCCATTTTGCATTAATAACGTGCGTACTCGTAAGTTTGTGAATTCAGTGCCACCATCAGATTGAAAATTCTTCATCTTGCAATTGAATTGGGTTTGAATGAAGGCTAGAAAAGCTTCAAACACATGAGAAAAATCTAATTTGGATTTCAAAGGATAAAACCAAGTGAAGCGTGAGAAGTCATCCACAAATATGCAATAGTATGAATAACCATCTGTTGCGGGAACCGGTGCAGTCCCCATAAGTCACAATGAACCAAATCAAGCACATTTAAAGACCGCTTGTCATTGAGAGTAAAAGGTAAACGCTTGCTTTTGGCAAGTTGACAAGATGAAAAAATCGTAGGTTTAGGTAATAATGAAGTCAACGACAAACAAACATTCTTATTTAAAACAAAAAGAGTATCAAAAGAAACATGGCCTAATCTAGCATGCCATAGTTCTGGAGAGGCACGAAGTTGAGAAGAAGATGAAGTTGCAAAGAACACTTGATGACCATGTTTGAGTACATAAAGCCCATTGTCACATCTACCCTTTGCTAGTATTTCCTTTGTTTTGCGATTCTAAATAGTAAAGAAAGGATTAGAGAATAACACATCAACTGGTGAGTCTTAGGTTAGTTTGTTGATTGATAATAGATTCTTGGTTAAATTGGGAACCACAAGAACATCAGATAACACAAGATTGGAAAGTAAAGTGGAAGTACCAATATCAGAAATAGGAGAGACTTTACCATTTCCAAAAATCACTTGTTCATGACCGGTATAAGGAGAAGACGAGTCTAAGTGGGTGGTAGATGGCATCATGTGCGATGTAGCCCCTGAGTCAACATACCAATCAGGAGATCGGTTGGTGACGTGACATTGAGCATGGAAAGCTTGAGCAAGAGTTTCATCGGGGGTAGTATCTTTACGAGCAAAGGATGCAAGGTCAGGGCATGAGCTTGCATAGTGACCATTTGTACGACACAGTTGACAATGTGGTGGTCTTCTGCCACGTCCCCTACCACCAGAATTGGAGCCACGACCTCTGCCTCTATAGGTAGAGCCACCATGAGAGGATTGAGAAGATCGTTGTTGTTGAGTTGTAAAGGTAGCAATAGGTGGTGATTCTTGAAGTGAGGCCAGGAACAGTTCATGAGATTCAGCTTGAGAGACTAAATCAAGAAAGGTTGGAGCAGGCTTAATTGCTCTATAAGTGACAGAGAAGTGCTCAAAAGAGGAGCCAAGACCAATAAGAAACCAATGTGATTTGTCAAGTTCATCCACAGGGTGACCGATTGCTGATAATTAGTCACAAAATGATCGAAACTTAGAGCTGTATTCGGAAACAGAGGAGTTACCCTTTTTTAGGCGCCGAAGAGAGTCTCTGAGGGTTTGCATACGTTCATGAGAGTCATGACGATAGGAACGCTCAAGTCTCTGCCATACTTCAGAGGCAGTGGCGAGTCCAATAATTTCTGCCATGGCTGTTTCAGTCAAGGATGAATGAATAATAAGGAACGCACGCTCATCATCTTCAACCCATTTGGCATAGGCCGGATTAGGAACCAGAGGAGTAGCAGTAGTGGAAACGGTTGTCTTGGGAGGGACAGGAGGGGTGCCCAGGATGTGATAGGAGAGTTTTTGGTACGCAAGAAGGGGGATAAGTTGATTTCGCCAGATCAGATAATTTGAGGGGGAAAGCTTCACAGTAATCATGTGAAGTATTGTGTTGAAAGAGAGAGTAGTATCGGAAGAGGAGCCGTCTGTCATGATTGGAGATGAAGAAAAAGAATCGGAACCCTAAGCTGATACCATATAGGGATTACTCTCAATAAAACCTCTATGAGGTAATCGTGTATATATGATGTATATATAGTACAATGAATAGCTAATACAAACTAAAATACACGGATAATCTTATCTAAGCTATTCATTTGAATATCATGTGATCTTCTCGCTAATAATATGTTTAATGAACACATATACTAGTTCTTTGTAAGAAGAAAATAAATGATTAGATTAAAACTTGAACTTCTAGTTGATAAGTTCAAGAAATTAAAAAACTAATGTATTGTTATCTTGTGATTAATGACATAGTTGAAGTTCATGACTGCTCAAAAAAGTGTATAGCTAAGACAACTTATAAAAGATTTAAACCAAGATTCGGAGTATGTCATCCCTCTCTTTTGTGATAATCTCTCTTCTATCAAACTTGTTGAGAACCTACCTTCCATGCTCGAACCAAACACATTGAAGTTCAATCTTTACATGCTTCATTATAACTTGTAGGTTATTTGATTTGTGAAATGGTAGTTAAGAAGCTTTTATGTGTCTCAGTTAAAAGGGCAAAATGAAAATATGGATAAGTTGGAGGATACTGAGAAGAAGTTAATTTCTTTGAATTAATCTCAGAACTTGAATATATTTTTGAAGTATTACAATTCACGACATAGTCATTATGCCAAGATGGAGTTTTGCATGTTCTTCCACTACTTTTGAGATTTTTTGACCGTGAGGGGCATTTTGGTCATTTTTCTTGCAACTTAAGAATCAGTATCACTTTCAAGGACTTCTGGTTGTTGAGGAATATTGAAATTCTCATCCTTATTGATAAAATAAATATTATCAAAGTTGTAATCCTCAAAAGGAATGAAATCTTGAGTATTCACTTCAAAGCTTTGAGTTTCATCATTAATTGCATGTGGAATAACATTTGTTTTCTCTTCTCAACTTTCTTGATTCCCTTTGAATGGAAATAATGATCATAAAAGATAACATCCATGGACATGATTATTTTCTTTTTTTTGCAAATCATACAACTTGGAAGCTTTCTGACCATTCTGATATCCAAATCAACAACACATGGTATTTGTTCAAACTTTCTTTTATGAGGAGTTATATTAGTTGCAAAATATAGACAACCAAATACCTTGAGATTATCATAGGAAGGAATTTTTCCATGTAACTTTTGGAATGGTGTTTCCCAATTTAGAATAAATATAGGGAGTATGTTGATGATACAGGGAGCCATTAAAATGATATGTCCCCATAAATAAATGAATAAAACATGTAACTTTGAGTGGAATAACAAAGATCTAGCAATTTGTAAAAGATGACGTTTTCTTTCAACTCTTCCATTTTGCTGAGGTGGATAGGAAACAATTCTTTGATGAACTATTCCTAAAGAGGAAAAAAGTTTATGACAATTGTGATTTGTGAATTCACTTCCATTGTCAGTTCTTAAGATTTTGACAGAAGTTTGGAACTGATTAGCTACATGAATGAAAAAAATTAGATAAAGTTATACAGACTTGGGTTTTATCATTCATGAGAAATGTCCATGTTGACCTTGAGAAATCATCAACAATGGTCAAAAAATATGGCAACAATGAAGCTTTTGTAATGTTTTTGATCTATATGGTCCCAAAGATCCACATATATGAGTTTGAAAATTGAATCAGCACAAGAATCACTAATTGGAAAAGGTAATCTTTGGTGTTTTGCAAGATGACATGGAATACAAGCAATTTTTTCATCAACAGATTTATTTGGAACAAAGCTCAAATTAGTGTTATCCATAGCAATAGTGAGGTAATAGCGACAACCTACCTATATGCTATGTAGCGATAGCAATGAAATAATGAAGACTATTTCATTTTTAGTGAATGCCTATTAAAAAATTAATACTACTTTTATCTTCGCCTAATTAGCAATTATAACTAATAAATAAGCTACATGTAGATGATATAATAACAATTGAATGGTATGACTTATAACTGATTAACAATGAATCAATGACTTAATCAATTAACGAACAATATATGTATACATACTACATAGAAATTGAGACACACCATATTAGAATGACATAATAGTTTTTAATGACATTAATTATAGGAATCAAATATAAGGTTAACGTATTCTTTCTAATTATTCAACAATTAACCCAAAGGGGTTATATATACAATACGTGAAAGAGTTGCAAATAAAATAGGAGATAACTAATAGGAGACAACTAATAGAAGACATCTAATAGGAAAAGCGTCTAATAGGAGACAACACGTTCAAAACAGGGCGATTTTTTTATTATTATTTAAAAACTAAAATAGTAATGAAATAAACTAAATAAAATTTTGTAATAAAAAAGGGGTTATATATACAATACGTGAAAGAGTTGCAAATAAAATAGGAGATAACTAATAGGAGACAACTAATAGAAGACATCTAATAGGAGAAGCATCTAATAGGAGACAACAAGTTCAAAACAGGGCGATTTTTTTATTATTATTTAAAAACTAAAATAGTAATGAAATAAACTAAATAAAATTTTGTAATAAAAAAACAAATTCAGCTATGCTGCAACATTCCTAATCATGTATTCATGTAATCAACATTGACATAATTATAGCTAGTATTGAGAACAACTAACAAGCTCTAATATATTATTTTTTACATAATTAATTAACCAAAACAAGCTCTTCAATTAATCATAACTTTTTACTAACTTAATTAAACAAGCTCTTAATCAAACAAAAAAAGCAGCATTATGATCTGTGTAAATTCCAAGCAATATTCAATAATTCTCACAAGCTCGGAAGCGTAAAATATAAAATTTTAGTTTATATCAAAATTAAATCCCAACACGGAACCTATCTTATATTTGCTACTTATTACCAGTTCATTATAATAATTACGGACTTCAACTGCTGATTAACTAGATTGATTTAATCCTAGATTAGGTGATCAAGATAAAAGGAATCAAAATCAAACATTCGTTAAATGTAAAACTGCAAAATCTAGATAGAATCACAAATCAAAAACCAAATCTAATGATTAATTACATAAAAAGTACTAATCTATTTGTAACTAATTATGGATATGATATTGTATCTCTTAGTTAGTCATTTTCTGTAATTTAAATTAGGTTAATTTTGTATAAATATTTTGATTATGGATGTTGTTTTTGGAGCAACAAGAATTGACAATTTCAAGGATATGATATTTTTTTTGAACGGTCGGGTTAGTGGTTAGAAGTTAGAATAATGAAATTGTTCACGCGAGGTTAGAACTCGAGACCTTCAATCTAAGAGTCAAAATCATCTACCAAGTGGGCTAGTCCCACATTGGCTATTGTTAGTATTATTATAAGTAAGTAGTTTTTAATTCCAATGTTGGGTGAATATATAGAACAACTAAATGAAAAGGAATAATTTTGTGTGGGTTTTGATAATATTCTACAGAAATATTTTCTAGTAAAACTTCTATTAACAAGCAACAAATGGTAGATTTCTTGATTATGTAATAGACCTTCAAATTAACAAGCAACAAATGGTTCTTGTGTTTGTTTTCACTTCACACAATCAAGAAAGTATTTTTTTCCAACATGGTGGTGAATGTTTTTTGACTCTTCTTGGATTTGGTGACTTTTAAATTTTAATGCTAGTTAAGATTTATGGAAATTGTGACTTCAACTAAGAAATTGCGTTATGAGTTTCCCGAACCATTGTATTAACTAAGAGAAGTCTAGGTAATCCTAAGCTTATTAAATTGTTATAGCCAAGTAGGATCCATCAAACCTATTGCACCACAAAATTATGATGATTAGTCAACTGGTTGAAATTGCGATTGATCCCGGCTTTGGAACATTTTGTTTTATAGATTTTATATTTTGTTATTTTAGTTTCTTTTTATAAATTAGTTTTTATCGCACTTGATATTTTAAGACCCCCCCTCTTTCATTTGAAAATTTTCTTTTGTAGAAACTAAATGCATATATTTGATTCGAACCAATCCTTGTGGATTCGATCCCTGTTAGCGCTACTACATTTCATTTTTGTCGTATTTAGGTTTTTATTTGGTGGTCTCGATAGCCACCAGAGATCAATCTAAGATATGTGAACAATGTCAATCAAGATCCAGACATGTTCACAAAGACATGGACATTGTGGAAGCCGATACTGAGAGGTAACATTAACATTACTAAGCAACACTTTTACCATGCATGTGTGTCGCATGCATGCTAGTTTGATTATTTTATGTTAGTTATTTTATGTGTCTTTTTTATTTTCCTTTCTAGACTTACTCAAACGTTAGTGGGTAGATATTCTCCTTTAAATGTGTGATTGACTATTTGTGTAAGCCATTATATGGCATATGCTTCACTTTAATCAAGTGAGTATCACATACATGATGTTAGTTCAAAACAGATATTAATTATATTTGACATTTCAAAAAAAAAAAAAGATAATACTGTTAATTTAATAGACACTCATCGTAATTGAAATATAAAAGAAACTAAATAATAAAAAAGAGAGCCATTTGGGTGTTGCCAAAAAAAACCCTCTGATTGGACATATGTGTGGTCGTCTTGGTGGATGTGTGGACCCACATACACATATGTCACATCCTTAGTGGTTGATTTAAGATTTTTGTATGTTTATGGATGGTCATAGTTCATACACACAAAGATGTAAGGCAAGGAATAGAGTGGAATAGAGAAAGAGAGTAGACCTTGAGTATGGAACATATCCCCACTTATATGACTGGCGTTGTTTGTATAAAAACTTCCATGCTGATATCATTTGATTTCTTTTTCCATTAGCACCTACTAAAAACCACTGTAATAATAATAAACACGAATCAAACCTAATTTCTATTATTTTCCCACACGGCCACAC